GAAAGGGAGGAGGGGGGGGGAGGAGGAGGAGGAGGAGGAGGAGGAGGAGGAGGAGGTTGGATTTATACCCCATGGCCCTTCACTACCTGAAGGAGTCTCCGAGTGGCGGACAACCTCCTTTCCCTTCCCACTACACCAAACTGGCTCTCAGTTCAAGGGTGAAAGCCCCCTCCCCTGCTCCAAGTAGCAGCTCAACACCTCCTGATCCCAGATGAGAATCAGGCCACTTCATGCCCAAAGCAGGGTTGCCGGGTCCCTCCTGGCCACTGGTGGGAGATGGGGCACAGTAGGGTTGCCAGATCCAGGTTGGGAAACTCCTGGAGATTTGGGGATGGAGCCCGGGGAGAACAGGGACCTCAGTGAGGTACAATGCTCTGGAGGCCACCCTCCGAAGCAGCCATTTCCTCCAGGGGAACTCATCTCTAGAGTCTGGAGATGAGCTGTAATTCTGGGGGATCCCCAGGTCCCACCTGGACGCTGTCGTCCCTAGCCCAAAGACTCAGGGCATTCCTCCTACGTCTGGAGAATCCCCTCCTTGGTCCGGGACATGAAGGGAAAGCTCTGCATTTCAAGCATATTTGCTAGAAATCTTCCCTCGCCTCTCCTCCCTCCCGCAGTCCGGGAAGGGGGTCTGTCACCCGGGCTGCAGCCGCAGCTGCCTTCTCGGCGCAAACAGTCATTACTCCCATCAGCTCAGCCGCCCCAAATTGACATATCCTGATGGCAAGGAGGGCGGAAGGAGGCATTTCGGCAAGATGTGCAACATGACCGAGCCGGGCTCTGCACTAATAGGAATAAATTGTTCATTCTTTAAGTGTCAGGCCAATGTATTAGAGGCTCCTGACCAGAGCCGCTCCGGCTGCCTGAGATATATTTTAACAAGCAGAGAAAACCGGACTTATTTTTTTTCCCCCTCTGACACTGATTTGAATAATTTCATTCTCTGACGGAATGAGTGTCAGCTCCCCTTAGACCGAAATATCAGGGCTGAGACAACGGGGCCTTGTAGAATGGCAAAAGAGAATGTCAGTTTCTGTTTTCTGTGACTTTCCCACCTCGCCCCCCCCCACCTCCGGTTCCTACTACTTCATTAGGGGAAATTGTATAAAGGGGCTGCCACTTCCGGCTGTTTCCTGATCCCCTATTCAATTAGCCAGTTAATCTTTATAGAATCATAGACTGTCAGAGTTGGAAGGGACCTTGCAGGTCATCTAGTCCAACCCCCTGCACTCGGCAGGAGCACAGCCGAAAGAGAGTCCTACAACATACCCGAAAGATGGTCGTCCAGCCTCCGCTTGAAAACGTCCCGCGAAGGAGCACCCACCACCTCCCAAGGCAGACTGTTCCACTGCTCGACCACTCTGACATTTAGGAAGTCTCTCCTGATATTTAGCCGGTATCGACTCCCTTCTCATTTCCACCCATTAGATATAGCCTTGCAATCCGGAGCAAGAGAGAATAGATCTGCTCCATCTTCTACATGACAGCCCTTCGGATATTTGAAGACTGCAATCATGTCCCCTCTAGAGTAGCATAGGGTAGGGACCCCCAACATTTTTGAGCCTGCATGCACCTTTGGAATCCTAACACTGCGCGGTGGGCGCAACTACAAAATGGCTGCCACAGAAGGGCTCTCCCAGGTTACCTTCAGTCTCACAGTTAAGATGTTTGTGCTGGCATGGCAGCCACGGTCAAAGCAATGTTTTAAGAAATCTGCATGTCCAATCAAATCTCCAGTGGTCAATCAATATCCTTGGGCATTGGGTAAGTGAGCTGCAAACAGCCCGCTCTACTAGGGTTGGCACGAACCTCATTCTTGCAGTTCGGTTCGTGGTTCATGGCTGAACCACAAACTGAACCACAGATATGCCAGTTCACAAACTGAACCAGTTCGTATCGGTTTGTGAGCCATTTAAACTCCTGATTTCTGCTCCAAACCCAAGGTAGCAGGGAGCAGAAAGCAGGGTTTAAATGGTTTTGAGTCATTTAAGCCCCTGCTTTCTGCTCATCACCGTTTTTGGCAGAAAGCAGTAATGGTTCTGAGCCATTTAAACCAAACAGCTGAGCAGCCGGAAGCAGAAAGCAAGGGTCGCTTTCTGCTCCCTGCTGCTCAGCTGTTGTTTTTTTTTTGTGAGGAGCAGAAAGCAGGGTTTTAAATCCCTGCTCTTCATGAACCAACATGAATGACATCAAAATTCAAGGACATTTGTGGCAACTCTTCAGTTGACAAGCATTGCTTCGCAAATGACAAACCGGCCAAGATTCGCGATGAACTTTAGTTCATCAGCCAGTCCGTGCCCTTCCCTGCACTCTACCTTAGTGCATCAGTCTTCGTTTTTGCCACCTGAGATGAAGGGGAAAATTGAAAACTTTTTTTTTTTAGCTCCTGAATTGTCTTCGTTTTCCTTCAGGCCTTCACATTTCTAGGCCGATAGCAAGCAGATGCCGTGACCTGAATGGTGCTTGGGGGGGGGGTTAACAGGGGGAGGGCTTCTACTGTCCTGGTCCCACTGGTGGACCTCCTGATGGCACCTGGTATTTTTTGGTCATTGTGTGACACAGAGTGTTGGACTAGATGGGCCATTGGCCTGACCCAACATTGGCTTCTCTAATGTTCTTGTGTCTGGGGCAAGGGATGCTATCGTGGGTGTTGGGGGGGGGGGTCAACAGTGGGAGGGCTTCTAATGTCCTGGCCCCACTGGTGGACCTCCTGATGGCCCCTGATATTTCTGGCCACTGTGTGATACAGAGTGTTGGACTGGATGGGCCTTTGGCCTGATCCAACATTGGCTTCTCTTATGTTCTTATGGCCCGGGCTACCCTGATTTTGTCAGATCTGGGAAGCCAAGCGAGGTCAACCCTGGCCAGTATCTGGATGGGCGACCACCAAGGACGCCCAGGGTCATGACGCAGAGGCAGGCAACGGCCAACGGCCTCTGAACATCTCTCGCCTTGGAAAACCTCCGGGGTCGCTGTAAGTCGGCTGTGACTTGAAAGCACTTTCCATCACCCACACAGAGCAATCCGATGAGCTGGAATGACAATGACGAACGCTCGTATAACACAGAGACAATCAAACAAGTAGGCTTCTGCGACAATACCTTGGCAATTGCATGCACACGGATGCTGGAAGGTTCTGCCAGCTCTTTCCTGAGATCCACATCAGCGGCCCAGTCTTTGCTCATTGGCAGACGGGACGTGAAGCCGTCGACGGAGGGGTGGCACATCCTTAAGGCCTTCTGGAGGCTCTCTTCAAAAGTGCGCCCAATAGCCATCACCTGTGGAAAGGAAAGCGCTTTATGCCAGCATGCCGAGGAGACGCCCCTCTCTCAGTTTCAGGGTTCCTCGGACAGTGTCAAGAAAAGAAATGCCTTCAAGAAAATGAGAGAGTGGCTGGTGTGTCGGATTAGCATATGGGAGGCCCAGGTTCAAATCCCCACTCCACCACGGAAGCTCGCTGGGTGACCTTGGGCCAGTCGCACACGCTCAGCCTAACCTACCTCACAGGGTTGTTGTGAGGATAAAACGGAGGACCGTGTCAGCCGCTCAGAGTCCTTACTGGGGAGGAAGGCGGGATATAAACAAAGTAAATAAGTAATAATAAAAAGGAAACAAGCCATTCAAGCTGCCCTCAGTTTGGTGAGAGCCAGTTTGGTGTCGTGGTTAAGTGGGCGGACTCTAATCTGAGAGAACCGGGTTTGATTCCCCACTCCTCCACTCACAGCTGCTGGATGACCTTGGGTCAGTCACAGTTCTCTCAGAGCTGGTCTCTCACGAGTTCAGTTCCCGGAAGAGCTCTCTCAGCCCCACCTCCCTCACAGGGTGTCTGTTGTGGGGAGGGGAAGGGAAAGGAGATGGTGAGCCGCTCTGAGACTCTGAGGGAAGGGCAAGGGTATAAATTGGGTATAAATCCAATCTCTTCTCTTCTTCTCTTCCCTCAGCTTGAAAATATTTAAGAATGTAGCAGGCAGATTCAGAGGACAAGGGCTCACATCCGTTCTTGACGTGAGGAAGAAATCGGGACTGAGAGGATCATGTTAGGGCTGCCAGGCAGGCTGATCTCGTCAGATCTCAGAAGCTCAGCACGGTCTGCTCTGGTCACGACTGGGATAGGAGACCACCAAGAGACACCAGGGTGGCTATGCAGAGGCAGGCAACCGCAAACCACCTCTGAACATCTCTTGCTGTGAAAACCTTGCAGGGTCGCCATACGTTGGATGCACTTTATACGCATTTGGCAGCAATTCACACACACACACTTACTTCCAGATGGGGCCTGAGGACCCCCCAGTATCCCCACAGCCAGTCCCCAGTCCTTCCACTGGCAGTTCTGTTTCAAACCATCTGCCAACTACAAGCCCTGCCATGCAATTATCTTGCCCACTTCCTGGGAACGATCTACGAGAAAACTGTGTGGAAAGGGATGCCACAGTAGCAAAAGCTAAATGCTAAAACCTACAAGAGCGCAATTTACTAGGATTTTTGGTTAAAAAAAAAAAGGTCAAGTCCATTGGCCCTTGATTTTGGTATTTTTACATGAGGTGTGATCGGGCCCTTATATGTTTTTTAATTCTTTGTTAATAAATACATGTATCTTTTTATACTACATATATTATAGTTTCTATTGTTGGCCCTCTATTCTGTTTGTTGGCCCTCTATTCTTTTTGGGTTCTGGATCAGTCCTCCCCCCCTTTTTTTGTCCCCATTGGCCTGATCCAACATGGCTTCCCTTATGTTCTTATGTTTGGAGCAGGGATACTTTGTCTTCTTGGTGCTGGGGGGGGGAGGGCAACAATGGGAGGGCTTCTGGAGTTCTGGCCCTGCTGGTGGACCTCCTGATGGCACCTGAGTTTGGGTGCGCATCGCCCCCCCGCCAGGGTGAGGAAAGGGGGGGGGGGGGGGGGGCTGGCTATTTGCATCGTCGCATTCTGATCCGTCATTATGCGATCAGATGGAACGGTGGCGCACTGGGGTTTCATCCTTCAGTGCGCGCTGCAAAGAGGACGGCTGGAGGGAATAGGCGCGCGCCAGCACGATCACACCGAACTAGTCCATCTGCAACCCGTGGCAAACCATTTTCTAGTAGATCTTTGCAGGTACATTTTAACTGCGCATCTTCAGTGGCAAGCCACAGGTTGGCCACGGGTGCGCTATGCTTGCCAGATGTTGCGGTGTGATCACACCCTGAAAATCTGCCCAGCATCCGTGCCTTTCATGAGGCAAATTCTCTGTGTGACCGGGGCCTGTGTGACACAGAGTGTTGGATGGGCCACTGGCCTGATCCAACATGGCTTCTCTTTTGTTCTTAGGTCTGGGAAGTGATGCTCTGTCTTCTTGGTGCTTGGGAGGCAACAGTGGGAGGGGGGCTTCTGGAGTTGTGGCCCTGCTGGTGGACCTCCTGATGGCACCTGGGTTTTGGTCATTGTATGACATAGAGTGTTGGACTGGGTGGGCCACTGGCCTGATCCAACATGGCTTCTCTTTTGTTTTTATGTCTGGGGAAGTGATGCTCTGTCTTCTTGGTGCTTGAGAGGCAACAGTGGGAGGGGGGGCTTCTAGAGTTGTGGCCCCGCTGGTGGACCTACTGATGGCACCTGGGTTTTGGCCATTGTATGACATAGAGTGTTGGACTGGATGGGCCACTGGCCTGATCCAGCATGGCTTCTCTTAGGTTCTTATGTCCTTGATCTAAAGTTAAAACAAGACACCTAAAATAATCCTTTAAAAATGTGCCTTAACTTTTTCCTGAAAGCTAAAAGGCATATGCCCAGAATTTTATTTTCCTGTTTGAAACTGTTGCTTATCCATTGGGATTCACGACGAAGAGGTTGAAAAGCAGCCTACAGTTCTGCTGAGCAAACAAACAAATGTGTGAGGCCTCTGTCTTTTCGAATCTGGATCCTAATTTTTTACATGGCTCGTAAAACCCATCTATTAGGAAAAGGACGATGATTACAGAGGACAATTCCTCTAGCCTTCAGCCTCATCCGTAAGGGAATGGTGTGAATTATAGTTTTCTCTGCAAGGAGGGAGAAAAGGCAAGCGACAAATGATGCCAAACCAGGCCTCAGATGTCAAAATAATTCAGTCAAAGAGAGTCTCGAAAAACATAAGGAAAAACGAAGCGAGACAATCAGTAAATATATAATTAATTATTGCACTTTAGGTAGTTGGTGGGTAATTAGCTAATTAGCTGCATAATTTCCCCATTTTGCATCAGTCCATTCCTCTTGAAACCGGGAAATGAAGATGTCAATATTGTTTCAGAAGGTTTTAAATTGAGATCCTCAATGCCAGGTTCTTGTCTTCCGCTCCCTGTTTGGAGAAGACCAATCCTAAATGATCTTACAGTAATTCTGAAGGAAAAGTTGTTTAAGGAAACATAACTTTCTGCACCACAAACAGTTTATATGTATTTAGCAGCAGATGTAGCAGATAATTGCATCTGCCCGTTTTGATTTTTCAGTTTAGTTCTTTATATTGGGAATCTTCTGTGTCCGTGTGTCTTAAAGCAATAAACAACATTTTCAAATGAAGAAGTGAGAAGAGATTGGATTTATACCCCGCCCTTCACTACCCAAAGGTGTCTCAGAGCGTCTTACAAATTCCTTTCCCTTCCCCTCCCCACAACAGAGACCCTGTGAGGTTGGTGGGGCTGAGAGAGCTCAGACAGAAACGGCTCTTTTTCAAAAACAGCTCTTATGATGTTAGAAGAAGAAGAGAGAGAAGAGATTGGATTTATACCCCGCCCTTCACTACCCAAGGGAGTCTCAGAGCGGCTTACAAACTCCTTTCCCTTCCCCTCCCCATAACAGACACCCGGTGAGGGAGGTGGGCCTGAGAGAGCTCTTCCAAGAACTGCCCTTTCAATAACAGCTCTTTTCAGAGCTATGGCTTGCCCAAGGTCATCCAGCAGGTACAAGTGGAGGAGTGGGGAATCAAACCCGGTTCTCCCAGATTAGAGTCCGCGCACTTAACCACTACACCAAACTGGCTCTCATGAGAAACGTGGTGAAGAAACTTCATCCAACTTACCACACTTAAGATTCCCATGTTCACAGAACCGATTCACAGAACCGATTGGCCCTTCCAGGTCCCATGAATGCAAGGCTAGCTGCCACCAGGGCCAGAGCTTTCTTGGTGGCAGCTCCATACTGGTGGAATGAGCTCCCGGAAGAGATCAGGGCCCAGTGGGACCTTTTACAGTTCAGAGATGTTAATATTGACCATAATGGAAGTGGTGGTGATGGTGGTGGTGGCTCCGCAGGTCCTGCAAGACGGAGCTCTTCCACCACTTCCATTATGGTCAATATTAACATCTCTGAATACCAACTTTAATAACTTATTGATAATTGAAACCTGGTGCCTGGTCTATTACCGACAGCCTGTGCTCACCGGCCGAAACTGAGAATGACCATCAAGCTGAATGTCTATATAGGAACTATCTTTAATACCATAAGTCACCATCTTCAATACCATAAGTTAGTCACTAGCACTTTATATGATGTAAGTTATTTTTAATGAATTGTTTTAGCTATTTATATATTTATTGTTATTATGTTTTTATGATGTTAGAAGAAGAAGAGAGAGAAGAGATTGGATTTATACCCCGCCCTTCACTACCCAAGGGAGTCTCAGAGCGGCTTACAAACTCCTTTCCCTTCCCCTCCCCATAACAGACACCTGGTGAGGGAGGTGGGGCTGAGAGAGCTCTTCCAAGAACTGCCCTTTCAATAACAGCTCTTTTCAGAGCTACGGCTTGCCCAAGGTCATCCAGCCAGGTGCGAGTGGAGGAGGAGTGGGGAATCAAACCCGGTTCTCCCAGATTAGAGTCCGCGCACAAACTGAGCCTGCCGTGGCAGGGAGGGCGGGGTACAACTCTAAGTAAATAAATAAATAAATAAATGTTGGTACCACATCTAGGTTCCACCTGCAATTCTAGGTGGTACAGCCAAGACACAGGTTTGCCACTTCAGTGATTGCTATGAATTAGTGTTGACGACGCCAGGTTGAGAAATTATTGGAGATCGGGAGGTGGATCTTGGGGAGGGCGGGGTTTGGGAAGGGGAGGGGCCTCTGCTGGGTGAAATGCCATAAAGTCCGCCCTCCAAGGCAGCCATGTTCTCCAAGGGAACAGACTTATATAGTCTGGAAACCAGTTATAATTCCAGGAGATCAGCAACAGACTTGGGGGGGGGGGATGTCTTGAGACTTTCTCAAGATGCCCGATTTTGGGTCAGAGGATGATGGGGAATTCTTCGGCTCTGGCCCTCTGGCC